CGTAACAGCACTCGCACCTTCCAGGCATCGTCTTGTGAGGCGAGATCAAAAGTGAATAAATCCTCATAACGTTGATACCATGTGTCAAAAGTGACATTGGCCTCTGGTTCATAATTGAACTGTGAAATACTGTTCATAATGCCGTCGACAGATGGTAGCATGGTATGATTGGGATTGCTTGAAGGTGAAGCTGGACCAGTCTGTTGGTTGATGAACATTTCCATTAATTTCATTTGTTGTTCAAATAATAATTCGAATTTAGAATAATCCATAGTAAATTGTTATGTTGCTGCTGCTGTGTGGTTAATAGTAGTTTTCCCCGTCGCCAAATTGTTATGTACTAGTTTTCCCCGTCGCCAAATTGTTATGTTCTCGTCGCTAAATTATTGTTATGGTCTGGTCGAGAAACTAATAGTCCTGACGCGAGAAGGCGGAAATCAGAAGACCACTAGGTTTGCGATGATACTTCTATTGTCCAAACACAAGGAGACGAAAATAAATGGTCTCACACCAAAGTGAATAGTAAGTAAAGTAGTTCACACAGAATGTGTGAACGAAATATATATATATATATATATATATATATATATATAACAAAATATATATAGCAGACATGTCAAACACCCATATATGGATATATGTCACCAAGCAACGGACTGTCAACAAACACTCATATTATATATAATATAATATAAGGAGAATATACATTGTTAAAGGAGACAAGTTCATACCAGTGAAATGGTCACAGACTAAGAGAGCAAATAGAAAGAGAGACCAACATACACACACACACATATAAATATATATATGTGGATACATATCAGTTGGTTATTTTCATAATCCCCATCTTTTCTATGATCACCTGGAGTCCTGTCTTTGCTGCTTCTTCGACCAGTTTTTCAGTTTTCTCTTGTAGGTCTTCGATTGTGTGTGACATCAAACTTAAATCATCCACGCGCGAAATCCAGGTCTTCTAGGTTCTTCACGTCGGTCCAGGATATCCCTCCCTGTCTTCTCGTTTCCCACTCACTGTCTGACACATAATCCAGTCAGTCCACCACAATTAGGAATATCATTGGTGATAATAAGCACCCTTTTCTGACTCCTGTGTTTACTCCAAACGCCTCGGTGAGTTTTCCGTTGTGGATGACTTGACATGTGCCGTTGTCGTACAGCTGTTGAATAAGGTTGATGAATATTTGGGGTACGCCATATTACTCAAGGAGTTTCCAAATTACTTCGCGGTCAACGCAGTCGAAGGCCTTTTCAAAGTCTATAAAGTTGAGGTAGAGGTTTGATTACCATTCCATGCTTTTTCTGATGATGATGCTTAGAGTTCCATTGTACGTATTTTCTAAGAAGTCAGGGCTGATAATTTGCGAAAAATTCGAAACTTTTTAGTTATGCGCAAATATCCAAGAATATAAGACTTGTGGAATGCACGGTTCTATACTATACATAAAACAGTCAATATCCTACACAAATCTTAAATCAGGAGGTACGGGATGTCACCAAATGCACTGTCGTAATTCATCAATAAGAAAACTAAAGAAGAGATGTCAAAAGCAACCCACGGTCACACTGAACACCGTACGAATTTCCTGACTAAGAATACATGGTTCTGAATAAATGATGTTCAGCAGAGAGAGTAACATAAGCAAAGCATGTACAGCAGCTTATAGTTTGACTGTAAGGGGACATTACTATAGGTCTAATAGGAGAGGGATTTGATTTGTTTCAAGTTCGCCCACAGACTGATATCAGAAAACCAGGGAGTACTGAACAACCGTTTTGTCCTAGCTTGGGGCTCGTCTGCGTTACGCGCCGGCTGGATTTCAAGCCCAGGACCTTCCAGTTACCAGTTAAGCTAGCATTTAGACAACTGAGCAACTAAAACCCGACTCACTCATCCGCGAATGATACCACCAGCCAATGTCATTGGGGAGTATTTGTCCCTACTCCGTATCTGATGGACGTTACAGATCACGATGTCTCACTGGAACCTTAGGCAATTTGGTTTTACGACCAGTCACTAGCAATCATCCGATTAATTTTCAGGTATTTGCTTGTAAGGAGTCTGATTTGCATCGTATCTGGTCACAGATGTATATTGGTTAGATTTCATGGGTTACTGAGTCAGGTTTCATTGGCCGAATAGCCTCCAAGCCTGCCTTCTAAACTATAGGTTGTTGGTTCGAAACTGACTCGGCGCTTACTGAATTTGAGTCATGAACAAGTAATAAGCAGTTGTCCGATATCATTTTATTTATAATAATTTCTTTGGATTCCGAGTGAAGCATAGGCCTTCAACAAAACACCTCCACTTTCTTCTGTTCTCTACTGTCCTCTTCATCTGGCTAGCTCCAGGATTGATCATAATCTCCCATCTCATCCTACTCCTGGCAACACGATCTCCTCCATGTCACCCTCGCGCTGAAGACTGAATTGTCGTTTCCTATTAGGATTCTACCCAAGCGACTGCCTGTATTGGGTGTGACTTCATTCAACGGCCTCCTCAACGCATGCAGGATTCATCTCCATCTCACCTCTCGCCTGTTGGTTTGTTCCCAACCAAAGTTAGTTGTTGTTAATACTTGCTGACCGGCCGGCCAGCTGGCCATTTGATTTTGCGTAAGGAGCCAGTGAATTAGACAGCTGTTGGTAACAGTCTGCAGTAATCTATTGCAAATGCTTTTCGTGGCACACACGCTGGCCAAGTTTCTGACCCGTATAGAAGTACTGACTGAATGACTTCACATTTTTGTTGAACAGAATCTAAATCTTGTTCTTGATGCCATCTAAATGAGTGCAGATTTCTATATCGATTTTCGGATTGATGAAGGAGTATCTCGCCTTTCCGATTCTGACTTTGAAATCTTTATCCGTTTCCATTGCCTGTGGTCGAAACGATACTGCCTAGACAGATAAGTGAATGAAGCAACCTCTATGAGATCTCTTCCGGTGATGGTGATTGGTGCTGGTTGTTTTTGTTGTTGTCGTCGCTGTTGCTTTTGGCAAGTTGGTTGGCTATCTTCATCGCCTGAGTACTTCTATGTTCACCTGGAGTCCTGTCTTCGCTGCATGTCTCGCCTATGATGCCTGCTTTTTTGGTTTTTGCCTGCATGTCTTCGAGCCTGTGTGATATTAGACATAAATCATCCACACATGAAATCTAAATCTTCTGGGTTTTTCTCATCGGTGGTCCAGCGTATTCCTGACTGTTCACTCCTCACAGTCTGATTCATTGTCCGTTCCGCCACAGTTAGGAATATCACCGGTGATAATAGACAGACAGATAGACAGCTTTCCTTACTCCTCTATGAACTCTGAACCTCTCACTGAGTTTCCCATAGTCGATCACCTGACACGTACAGCCGTTATTATTTAGCCAGCTGTTGAATGAGGTTGATGAAGACTTGTGCATTTCATGGCGTAGTGTCGAAGCAGTTTCCAAATTAATAAGAGGTCAACCCTGTCGAAGGCGTTTTCAAAATCAATGAAGATATGGTACAGGTTTGACTTCCATTCTGTGCTTTGTTATGTGACGACGATGCGTAGAGTTGCAGTTTGATCAGCAACATGATTTGCCTCTCCTTAATCCAGATTGTTCTGGGAGTAGTTTACAAAGGTTCTCGAACTTATGTCAATCTGCAATCAAACTAAAATAATTATAATAATAATACACTAAATGAGTCAGATTTCAGTGGAAAACACTAGTAATGCTTACGGCGTAACAATATAGTAAAAATATGTGAGCTAATGCTGCTTACTACTGGTAAGTAGTATAAAATAAATTCGAGGGAAATAGTCACAAAGGGAAAATATGGAAGGAATTTACACACACACCTTTAAGACAGTCCAATGTAACATTACTTCCGTTAAAAATGCAATATGAAATATTCACATAAGACTAAGTCCACCTTAGAGAATTTGAAATTTCAGCTGACTGACTCTGCTCTGCTGCACCAGAGAGGCGGAAATGAAAGACGCTGGCAAGCTTATTTTTTTGATAACTTCATAAACCCGCCACAGAGTGTCTTACCATATATTGTTTGGTTAATTAATGACTATGCTATCAATGGATGAAATTCAATAGAGGTCACCTCCTTCACTACTTATCTAGAAAGGATCTTTCCAACTACAGACAGTTGGCATATATGAGGATGTCAAAGCTGGATAGGATAAGTGAGGCAATTCACACCTTCATCAGGCTGAAACCAGTTTGAAGATCTGCTGCACTCATTAACATACAGAAACTGGATTTGGATTTTCAATACCAACACCAATGTCAATTCAATTCTTCTATATGGTTCAGAAACTTGAGCACAACTTTATGAAATGTATTTCCAGCAGCCTGTTGCAGACTTTTATCAACGTCTACCTTCTCTGGTTCAATACTGAATGCAAGATAGTTCGGAAGAATTCGTAACATAGATCTCTGGGAACACACCAGCAAAGAGCTTGTAGAAGAAAATGCAGATGCATCGGGCACAGTCTGAGGAGACTGTCAAATTTCATCTCATGCCAAGCGATCACTCGAATGGGATCCGAGTGGCGAGCAACGAGTTGGACTTCAGTCCTAGGATTTTAAGGAGGACATCTTGTGAGAAGGAAGTGAGTAAGTGACTTAAGAATTATAGTAAATTTAGCCTGTGTAGACAAGCATAGAATAAAACGGTAGTGTTTGAGAAATATTTCAAATGATTTTGGAAGTCTATTAATCACCGTCTTAATCAAATATCCTAGAAGTAATGTAAAAGCATATTAGCTAAACTACGCATACACCATTCAAATCAAGGTAAAAGTGTTCTACTTGAGAGACGCTTATAACCATGTTAAAGATAACTTTTCATGGATCCTGGTTGCTAATTTCACCTCTCTTTTTCTTCTTTTTTTTCTAATCTTTGGTGACTGTATTTTATGGTCTTTCTTCACATTCTATCGGGGGGCGATTGGATCCAACAAATAAACACGAACCAACAATTTACCCGAAAAACAAGTACCTTGCAATTCTCATCGCCATTGTTATCGCTGTCATTGCGCTGATCATCGTGTACAAACTTTATCCGACACTGGTAAGTAAAGTGAAAAAACCCATGATCATAAATACCAGTTGATATTTTGCCTACATTTGGAAAGTGACATAACCATAGCAAATGATTCTGCCATTCATATTATTAAAGTGTGTCATCACTGTCTTAGGACTGTCTTCATTCCCCCCCCCTGCATACCCATCGGAGAAATCTTTTTATTTGAGAGTTCTGTCACATGTTACACCAGAAGTCCTTCTTTTGGCCATTTACTTCGCCTCACAGTTTTTAGCCAACCACACTATTTTTGGCGTAACTTTAAAAAGCCGTGGAAATAAGAGACAGTGACAGGGTAAGAGCGCGTGAGAGGAGAATCCCTTTCACTATGAGATGAAATAGAAGTTGACAGATCTCAATTCACTCACACAAAATAATCACCGATAAACTGTGTCTGTTGATATGTTACCGCCAAGTATGGATGCTTCGACTATGCTTAGGGATTGGCTTAAAGTTATTTGGGATCAAGTTGACTAACAGTGTAGTCTAGGCTGCGCTTTTAGACCTATTTTGGACCCATCAACTGAATGTACCCGCAATGCCCAGTGATTCGCGGTGTCGAACCTTGTATTCTTCGTTTCGAGTATCAAAAAATTGCCCAAAAACCCACGTGAAAGCCACCAGGGTCAGGGTTGGAGTCTCAATGAGGATAAAATCACTCACTGGGAATGCAGTTTGGCCTAGCTGACGAGTCCATAAAAGTATAGAATGCACATCCCAGATCCCACTGACAGTCGTTGACAATCAACATAGATTTATAGCAAATTTCCCTCCACTACACAGATTGGAAGTGAGAAACTTCACTCCACTCTGAGGCTTAGTATATACATTTGATCCTGCGGTCAACAAGGAGAAATCCATTATTAAGAAGTAGGATACACTTATCTAGTTAATATTTTGAATAATATATTCATCTAACGAAAGAACACAAAGTTCTGGAGTGAAGCGGGGGTTTTCTGAGTTATATATCTTGAAGTAATTGATCTTATATCAGGGACTTTAGATATTAGGTTATTGAATGGAGGATTTCATCATAAGCTGACATCAGTTAGAGAACCACTGGAAAACCTGAAAGTACTGGACTGCTGTTTCGTCCTAGTTTGAGACTCTTCATCAGTACGCACCCACCGCCAGGGTTCGAACCCAAGACCTTCTGGTTACAAGGCTAGCTAGCTCGTAGACCATTAAGCGACTGGGACCCGATCCAATGGTCCTTGAATTCTAACTTCTGCCAATTCACGATATAGCGCGACCACTTCGCAATGTCTTCTTCGATGAGTTACTGCCTCATCTTCAACCTGCTGTACCCTACTGGTTATGACTTCCCACTAGAACCCCAGGTTAACTACATGAATAAGCCAGTCACTAGGGAGCATCAGATTAATTTTCAAGTATTGGTTTTGTGGGGATTTTGTTTGATTGCATGGAGGTTGAAGGCAGTAACTCATCGAAGAAGACATTGCGAAGTGGTCGCGATATATCGTGAATTGGCAGAAGTTAGAATTCAAGGACCATTGGATCAGGTCCCAGTGGCTTCTGAATGGTCTACAAGCTCATTAGCTTTGTAACTAGAGGGTTGTGGGTTCGAACCCCATTGGTGGGTGCGTACTGATGAAGAGTCTCAAACTAGGACGAAACAGCAGTCCAGTACTCCCAGCTGGATTTCCAGTGGTTCTCTAACTGATGTCAGCTCATCAATGAATCCTCCATGCAATCAAACAAAATCCCTACAAAGCCAATACTTGAATATTAGGTTATGTCTGTCAGTCACTGAAACACAGGAGATGCGTTTAGTGAAGGCTAACTCAGCTGTACAAAGTTGAAGTCAGCTGTTTGATTGCATTCTACAAATAGGTTAAATAGAAACTTTGACGTCGCTTTCACCAATGTAAATCGTCCACTGATGAGTAAGCTAACAGGGCTGCCATACTCTTCAATGACGATTAAAATCCGCTGACAAACTGATGTTATTTAGTGACACCAATCTAAATGACACCACGATGTGGTGTATTTTATACAAACACTAGAAGTTATACGTGAATCAGTCTCAGATCCCTTGCGATCAGAAGACACCTAAATGACAGGTTTCGTTAACTAATTAGAAACAAACAATTACTATTTAACAACAGGTTAGAGTACATTATTCAGTCCTACCATCCATCAGTAAGACCTGTAGTCGAACCCTTTTTCAGATACCTGAGCAGAATCTATTATATATAATGCGATGAATGACTAATTATGTTTAACTTTTGCATATCAGTACTATGAAGCTATTTATTTAATAAGGGCTGAGTGCCTGACTGAATTTCAGCGTAGAACCTGGCGTAGAAATGCTGCAGTATAAGTTGCCACAAAAGAGAAAGAAAAAAGAGATTTGAAAAAGTTATAATCAGCAGAAATTTCTGGTAGAAACAGTAATAGGGTAGATCATTATTATTATTTATTATATCCTTTAATTCCCAGAGGAACATAGGGCTTCAGCTGCGCGTCTCCATTGCCTTCTGTTTTCTGCCAGCTTTTTCACTCCGCTCCAAGTCTGCCCACATGCTTTCATCTCCTCCTCACATGACCTCCTCCAAGTCACCTTTGGACGACCAACTCGCCGCTTCCCTTTCGGGTTCCACTCGAGGGCTTGTCTAGTGATGTCACTTGATGGTTTTCTCAGTGTATGGCCAATAGGGTAGAAAATATAACTAATTGACAGTTGACGCACTAGTAATTGTGCGTCCATGGCATAGCGTTTAGGACGCTCGCCGACCATGCATATGGTCCGGAGTTCGATCCCCGGCCGCCAACGCACTCCTCTCTTACCTTGCTAAGACAGCAATCAGACTGGTAAAGAGAAAAGTTTGGGCATGAGGCTAGCAACCCAATCCTGTAAAATAAACACTGCTACAGAAACTTCAAGCCACTAGCTTGGAGCCCTAAGTTCCACTAGGGAAAGTGAAGGAAAACAAAAACATTTGCACAATGGGGAACAATTCTGGGCCATATCACTTACAGTTTCCTGCCATTGGCTGTTAGTATCCCAGCATCCTACACCTCCCTATATGACTCCCTATTTGGCTAAATGGATTGAGGCCATGTTTTCACCTAACCGTCTCTAACTCTTATCCAACCTAATCTTGTGTCAGCTAACACTGGTCATCGAAGAAGGCTGTGTCCTGGTATTCTCATTATCATAATAGGTGTAGCTTCACTACCTAATTCACTGACTTCCCTTACCTAATTAACAAGCATATCGAAGACTATAGTGTCTGGTCTCTTCACAATGTTAAATGTCACCCTGAGTGATGTAATAGAAGCATTCTGACAGGCTGACTGACTGGTCTCTTTGAACAGATGTGCAGCAGTTTTAATTGCCACATTCCCACCTTGCAGGACACAAAGCAAGAGAAGACAATGAAGAGAGATTCATTAAAAGAGAGATAATAAACAGAAATGTGAGTGAAGGAAAAAGAATAGTAATATTGAAGAACAACAGAATTTTGTTGGATATCATAAATCACAAAGAGTGAATGCATCTGCACCAACCATCACCGAGAACGATTTTGAGCCATATCACCTATTGTCTCCAGCCTTCATTGATCCTTATCATCCTGAGAACCCCACCCAGGAATACACATCCCTGCGTGGCTGGCTTAAACTAACTGTTGTGGGCTTCATTGCCTAGTGTGAAGTTTTCATTTGCTCACCACTAGCTAACTCTTTTCCAGCCTCATCCTATGTCAGCTAGCATTGCCCGTCGACGATCGCGATGGCTAGGCATAAGCAACACATGTTCTGACTATCTGAATCGATGCAGTTTCACAACCTCAACGATTGGTTTCTCTCTCACTTTGTCTAACATTCGAGCGATGCCTAACCTCAGTATTGATTATCCCATTATACAACCCAACAACCATGAGAAACAGAACGCAGGCACCTATGATCAAAGACAGCTAAACTGGTTTTCCACCTCTTCCACCTTCGATGGCCATGCATAATTCACAGTCATTATGGAGGACATAGGGAACTGTTGAGCAGTACACACGTCCTTTGGTCGACTGTTGGATATCACGTCTACTAAGCCAGAGTTGGCATAAGTTACCAGGTAAACGCCAAACGAACCTTCTGTAACCGTGTTGAGATTTCGTTAGCGATCAACCTGCTGGTGCCAGCTAGTGCAACTCCCAGTATAAGTAAAATGGTCAACACGCTCTACGAGCCCCAGCAGCTATCGGTAGGGGATGCATTCTAGATTTCTGCAACTGTCGAAATTGGTCAAATTCACAATCTGCTAATTAGTTTGCACATTTCGAAATGATAATTTCATCACATTTTCTCTTGGAAAGAAATTTATTCAAGTCACAATACATGATCCCTTTGTTACTATAAAAGATATGTGATATAATAAATGATGAGTCGAGTATGCAACTACTCATCTCTATCAATCAGTAGTATATAGTATTTTTTTGAAATTGGATTCAAACTTTTGAAAGAATAACGACCTAAATTGTGATATCTCGATACGGTAAGCCTAAACTAGAGAATCAACGAATTATCATACTCACAGAGAGCATATTCTTAGTGAAGAACAAATAATTCTTTCTGTCATTTGGTCACTAAGAATAAAATCCGTACACTAGCTATTTACTACTAAAATTATATAAAGTAACTGAAAATTATATGCAAAATTACTTTGTTCTTGCTCTTATGCATTTCAAATTCATTATTTATATTTTATTTTTTTGCTATTATTATCCTTTAAACAAAAGGTGACATCAGTGATGGATACAGCTATTGATTCATGGGCCCTGAGTTATGTGTCGATTGTTTCTGGTGATACAAATAGTGTTCTGTTTGCCTCTCTTATGATGCTTGTAAGTAAAAACATTTAACATTTTTTTCTAAATAATTCTAATGACATTGTTTTTCTTATCTGTATATGAAGTTTTGCATTAAAAAAATGCAGATAGTCATCTGGTGAATATTCCACAAAAACATTACCTTCTGGCACATTAAAGGGTTTCCTAGAGCTCCGATGAGAAATATTGATTATAGGGTTTCATCGTCAATCGACATTGTTAAGAGAACCATCAGGTAACCTCGCCCCAGATTAAAACTCTTCCTCAGTATGCATCCACTGGGGGTTCGAATGCAAGACTTACCATTTACAAAACGTGGTCATAGCCCATTGAGCCATTGGGGCCCAATCTATGAATCCCAACTTCTGGCAATTCTTACCGATGTCAGCTCATGACTAAACCCTGAAACTAATCAAATCCCTACAAACTGACGATTGGATAAAAATATTGATCGATGCGTATCTCATAGTTGCAAATAAGATAAATTACTCAAATGAGACAGTGTCCGACACAAACGTTGTGTTGTCGTGATTCGGAAAATGACATCAGACATATGGTGTATTTGGTTTTGACTCAGTAACCGGAAGACGATTTCCTCACGCGGAAACCTCACTATACTCGTCTTTATCTATTGTTTCTTTTGTGAATTTAGTGGAGTATAGTTCCCTTCTTATGATACACTAAGGAATGTGTTCTCAGTGTTCTATATATTATATACCTGTCAAACTACCCGTCAATTAAGTAAGTTTGTCACCGTAATGTCATTAGGATACTCAGCCTGCATACATTCTCATAATAGACAATTCTGAACGGCAACAGTTTATAATACAAGATTGCGAATCATACACCTGTTACTTCACACAATATGAAAAGTATCTACTCAGCTAGTAGATTAAAAATTGCCAACTTTCATGCAGCAAGCATTGTCGGTTATGTATATTTAGCGATGAGACTTTACCATACGAAAATGAGAGCACATTGAAATAAGGCAGAAAGAAAAGATATGAGAAGTTCTACTCTGGAACACTTTACCAACATCTTTCACCAAATCAATCACTATGATGATTTTAAGATTATTTAGAGAATTTATGCTAACTTGTGACAACTTTTGTGTCCAAACTTTTAAAGGGAAGTGGAGATCTTAACAATTCATAAACTCAAATCAGACCTCTGAGTGTCAAAGTGTAACAACAGAAGACAAAGGCCAGGAAACACATCGTTTATTAAGGAAATCAACACATATTTATAGATTTTTATGTACATTATTATAGATTATTCAAGCAAACAAACACAGTCTTCTGATCGGTTGTTACTCACAGAAGTTAACCTTGCATCTCTTTTTGGCTGCTTCTTGAATATTAGATCATCTATATGTTAACTGTATCCACGTACGCAAAGTGTGCTGTGGTTGTTTGTTGAATCAGTCTTGTTCATATTTTCTCACGATCGATATTTGGGACATAAACATTTACGTAAATTAATGTCTACCAATTTGGCTGGGAGCCTGCTCTCACCACAAAAGTGTATGTCAAATCTCTATTTCCACCTTAGCTGTAGATTGCTAAATATTTATTTGTCCGATTGGTTGTAACATTTCATCATGAATAGACATCAGTTAGAGAGCCATTGAAAAACCATCTGAGAGTGCTGGGTAACTGTTTCGTCAGCCTAGTTCGAGAGTCTTAAGCAGTACACACCCATCTACAGAGTTCGAACCCAGGACCTTCTGGTTACAAGGTGAGTTTGCATACCATGAAGCCACTGAGCCCCGATCCATTGGCCAGTCCATGAATTCTGACTTCTACCAATACATTACATAGCGCGACAACTTCGCAATGTCTTCTTCGATGAGTTACTGCCTCACCTTTAATCTGCTGCACAATACTTGAAAATTCACCCAATGCTCATTAGCGACTGACCCTATTCAGGCAGTGACCTAAGTTTCCAGTGAGAAGCAATGACCAGTAGGGTACAGCAGGCTGGAGGCGAGACAGTAACCCATCGACGAAGACATTGTGAAGTGGCCATGCTATGTCATGAATTGGTAAAAGTCAGAATTCACGGGCTGGCCAATGGATCATGTCCCAGTGGCATAATGATCTACGATCTCGTTAGTCTTGCAACCAGAAAGCCCTGTGTTCGAATCCCGGCTGTGTGGGTGCGTAGTGATGATGATTCCTGAACTAGGATAAAACAGCTGTCTAGTACACCATGGTTTTCTCTGATTTATATCAATTCGTGATCAAATTCAAGATAAAAAGAGCCTTGCAAATCCTAAAGAAGATATAGTAGTTCCCAGTCGGTTAGCCGTTTCGTTCACCTGAATTATGTAATCACTAATAGCTTCTTAGTCATCATACAGTTATATGTTCATAAGATCCTGCAACATAGTGTTACAGTGAAAATTAATTAGTAATACATACACCAGGTGATTCATCGGACTGAAGTTTCTGTAGCATCTTTGTTTAGAAGGTGGGGTTGCTAGCCTCACGCCTTAGAAAGGGATTATTACATTAAGATGTAGTTTAGAGACAAGCGGCCTTGTTGGTTGCTTCCCTGGAAACCTGAAAACAAGGAATAAAACAATCAGAATAACATCAGCAAAAGGAAAATAATTCACAGCAAAAAGGGAAACAGATGACAACAACAATAAAAATGTCACAGGATTTCATCATGAGCTGACATTAGTTTGAGGACCATTGGAAAACCTGGGAGTACTGGACAGCTGTTTCGTCCTAGATTGGGACTCTTCATCAGTACACACCCACCGGGATTCGAACCCAGGACCTTCCGGTTAAAAAGGCGAGCTCGTATACCATTAGGCCACTGGGACCGGAAGGTCCTGGATTCGAATCCCGGTGGGTGCGTACTGATGAAGAGTCCCAATCTAGGACGAAACAGCTGTCCAGTACTCCCAGGTTTACCAATGGTTCTCTAACTAATGTCAGCTCATGATGAAATCCTGAAACCAGTCAAATCCCTACAAACCAACACTTGAAAAATGTCACAGTTATGCACAGTTAACTAAAATGATACCAAAATCATAGACTCACTGCCTTGATCCAACTTGAACATGTAAATCCAACAATATATACAATTACAGATACGAGTTAGTGTTAAAGAGTTACAAAATGCCAAACAGTTAGTTATAGGTATTAGTAGTCAGTAAGACTATATCCACAGGTTTAATGTTCGAAAGTAAACAAATTCCGATAGTTTCCAAAACATCGTGGTCAGAAACACCAGAGAAATGAGAGTTTTATGTAACTAAGCAATTGTAGCGCATCAATCCTTGGCGCGTCATAAAGAGCATCTCAAACAAACTTCAAACCTTCGTGAACAGTCGCCTTCCCTCAATACTCAAGATCAGATGGCCAGAAAAGATCAGCAACAGGAATCTCTGGCAGTGAGCGAACCAACCTACCAGGAACCAACTGTGAAACAAATAGGCAAGAAGAAATGGAGATGGATTGGCCATACTCTAAGGAAACCATCAAGTGACATCACTAGACAAGCCATTGCTCCAGTGGACCTCGAAAGGGAGGCGGCGAGTTGGTCGTCAGGGCTAGGGTGACTAGGAGGAGGTGATGTGAAGAGAAGATGAAAGCATGTGGGCAGACTTGGAGCGTGGTGAAAAAGTTGGCGGGAAACCGAACGCAATGGAGACGCTCAGCTGAAGCCCCATGTTCTTCTAGGAATTAAAGGATATAATAAAAATACATATATACATACACCAGGTTAGACAAATATTTACTTACCCATAATGACTTTCTATTGCTTATAAACGATGAGTAACAACTATCTCTCTATATATCTCTCTGTTTCCACTCTTTGTTTTCAGCTAAACTGTTGTGGATCCAGTAGTGTAACGGATATCACAGGATCAAGTAAATTTTCAACAAGTGACACATATTTATCGGTTTCATACACAAGTAAGCACTTACAATTTACGATTTACCCTTTATCACAGAAAATTAGGTATTATTAGTAGAAGTGATGAAAAAGTACACTAGAATTGAGCAAATAAATGCATTCCTCCTTCGAATAGTTCCTCATCAATGACTCTACACTAATATATATATATACATTTGAAAACTGAGTATTATAGCTCCCTTTATTCCTTCCCTGCAATGATTTTCAGGTCAAATACAGAGGTCACAGTGGATGGATAGGATTAGTCAGACTGGCGGATCACTGAAACCTCGAAAAGTTTAGATTAAATGACCCTAATACGATACGAAATGTAAAAAATACCTCACCTACAAGACAGAATAAAGCTGCATACAGCCATGCTATAGGATTAGGAAGTATTGAAATTTAATGTAACAGAGTTGAGGAAGAATTTGATAACGCCAGATTTATTTATCGAATCAACTGACAATATATGTACAGTAGGAATCACTCCGTAAAACTGCACGCTATATTGATTGACTGACATGACTAGTTGTACATAACACTCATATAAACCAGCACTATCAGCTAACTAGCCAGGTGAAAATGATCCAAAGACATCATAATAGGCATTTTGCTTGTTTGGGTCCAACCTTATCGGACGCGTATGCAGGTTAAATCCTCTCAGAGAGACGAACCACTCACCGGTTGATGTCGGTGCAATACGACTAGTCATCCAAATCTATCGGTAGTACTCGGTTTTATACAATTATGCTTCCTTTATTGATTACCATTCACGGTACCAAACAGGTTAAATATTGTATTCTGGAAAAGTTCAGTTTCTGAAGAAATCCGTAGTGAAATTTCACCTCCTGAAACTGTATAAATTGCAGATGAATTTGAAAATTTCGGCTTATAGTTGTGGACATATTCAACATTTGTTCATCCGGACAGGTGAAAGAATAAAGAAAACTGTAAAACTCAAGTTCCATTGTTATGTGGTTATACCTGAAGAACAGTAAGTTTTTGTTCGAAAATTCGTCAACCAGTGAACAATCAATAATACTGTTTCACAAATGTCTGACAGTGACTGACCGACTGAATAGTTTCAACGTAGAACTTTGTACAGATGTGCAGAAGTTGCTAATTTTTTTCCAGCCTGATCCTATACCAGTCGGTTAACACTTGCCGTCGAGAAAGGCAGTGGCTGGGCATGCGTAATACATGTTTTATCTGGTCTCAGTCGATGTAGTTCCGCAACCTTGTTGATTGATTTCCTCTCCTTACCTAGCATTCGAATGAAGCTTTACCTCAATATTGCTCACTCTATTGTACCACAACATAACAAGGCAGATGGAATACAGGTAACTCTGATCAAAGACAGTTAACCTTTTGCGTAACTTCCACTTCCAGTGGCGATGTATCACTCACAGCCACAACGGTGGCAGAGCGAATTTCTGAGGAGTTCACACAACCTTCGGTGGAAAGTCTACCGCACATCACGTTTACTAAGCCAGATGTGGTAACAGTTGGCGTATGTCGAATGAGCCTTCTGTGTCTATAGGGAGATTTTATCAGCCATCAACCCTCTCCAAACAAGCAAAGTGGTTAGCACTGTCTTCCATTTTACTCCCTATATAAGCCAATGTAGTCAAGTGTCATAGCATCATCTTACATTTGACGAGAGGAGCGAATAGCATGCCAAACATTCGAAGATTGCTAATCAGCGTTTTCAGAAGACCCCGCATTTTATCACAGTCTTTACGTAGAAGAACTACATAAACGAGATTATTCCCTGGTAACAAGTCAATCCTAGAGTCGCTGAAGTCAGTCAGCGTTAAGTTCATTAGCACATCTATGGTGAAATTAAATGGAAATGGGAATAGTGAGCATCCTTGATGGACACCACTGCTTGTTACTACTTCATATGACGACTTTTCGTAGGCTCTCACTTGACTGTATGAGTACTGATAGAGTGCGATGTATTTCCTTCACGGCCAAACATCGCCATAGCACCTGTCAGTCGACGAAATTGAATACCGCCTTCAAGTCAAGAAATATGACGATTACAGGATTTTATCATGAGTTGACATTGGTTAGAGAACCACTGGAAAACCTGGGAGTACTGGACAGCTGTTTCGTCCTAGTTTGGGACTCTTCATCAGTACGCACCTACCGCCAGGGTTCGAACCCACAACCTTCTAGTTACAAAGCTAGTGGGCTTGTAGACCATTCAGAAGCCACTGGGACCGGATTTCATGGCCCATGAATTCTAACTTCTTCCAATTCACGACATAGGGTCACCGCTAGCCAATGTCTTCGGCGAGTATTTTTCCTCACACACGACCTGCTTCACCCTACTGGTCACGAATTCTCACTAGAACCCTAGGTAACTACCCACCTGAATAGGGCAAGTCGCTAGTGAGCATGTCATTGATATTGAAGTGTTGGTTTATTTCCCCTAGTAACGTTTACACACTCCAATCCACTTTTTTTTTCAGAAGCCGTTACTCCAAATGGTACTCAACAATAACTAAGAACTATAAAAAATGATTTCCATATATCTGGGAAACAAATTTTCATAAAAATTATTTACCTTATTTTTGTTTTGTTTCCGACATACCTCTCTAGATCTTGTTCGTCCAGTTCCATGTTGTAAAGTTGACTCATCTATGTCTTTAACTGACTCATCGTGTCCAACTACATCCTCATCTACAAAGCAGAATGATTCTACAGGATGTAAAACTGTCATTCGAACTTATATTACCACATACGCGGATATAATATTCTATGTGGCACTTGGTATATTGGCATTCTTTGTAAGTTTTAAACAAGTCACGCTTTTGTTTCTTGTTTTTCTTTTTATTTTTGTTAGTTTGGTCTATGAAGCTGACAATTTAATATTTATATTAAATGCTTGGAGGTAATCGGCAGGAAGTTTTGCCTTACCTAGGCTTCTTGCTAGTTGGTACTCACCAGTGAGAAAGGCGTATCTGCAACCTTGAAGGAACTCATGTCCCTTTTGAGACAGGTTGCTTTTCCTCAGGCATAGTAGAAACTTAACAATCAGAAGGCTGTAAACACCTTAACTACTTGCTAGAGTGAATAATACTCTTTGAAGGTCATATTTTAGTAGATTATATATATATATATATATTTCATTGGTGGATGGTGACCAGCAGTGGAATCTAGGATACGCACTTCATCCTATTTGGGACTCGTCACCCGGATGTACCTGGATTTCTCAGTAAGTGATGAGGTTCCCACCGAGGCTGAAACCCAGCGCCCATAGTTTCAAACACCAAAGCGTTATTTATCCAGGGAACCAAACGCATGAAGTTTTTTTATTAGAATTTTTTGTCAGTTGACTAGTAGTATCCTATAGGTAATGTTTTATTTCGTTCTAGCAGGTATATACTACTGAAATGCTGTTTTCATCCCTCACTTATTCTTTGCTTTGTCTTTCACAATTCTAGGTGCTTTTAATTATTCTAGCTTCATTTGCGATTGCTGGACTCTAGAAACGGCAGCATCAGCCACAGCAAAAGAAGGAGAAGCGGCGGTTTTATACAAGAACCGATGAAATTCACCAGAGTGCATATGCGTGTGTGTGTGTCGGTGTCTGAACACGCTCTTGTACTCACGTGTTTGTCTTCTGTGTGTCTTCAGTGTTGTACTTTTGAACACAACCATAAAAGTAGAACGCTTTTGTTTGTTTGTTGTTTTTTGGTTAGTTTGGTCTGTGTAATTGACATTTTCATGCTATACTAGATTGACATGGAATCAATAAAAATGATCATCATAACAGAATGAGAATTATTATTACTATTATTATCAGAAAGAAAAGACTGTCTTGTATAATTCTGTTGAAGATATTTAGTCTATGGTTTGTTGTATGGATTTAGATGAATTTTGAATGTTGATTTTTTCATCAACCAACCAATCAACCAACACTAGTCAGTTAGAGATCAATGATAGTTAGGGAACATGGAACAGCCGTTTCGTCCTAGTTTGGAGCTGATATTGGTTTTTGACCGAATTCACATTGACACTGATCCAGTTACCTACAAAAACTCACAATCCAAACATCAGTCTCTAGCTCATTATTGACTACTAAATGGATGGATGTACTGAAGGTGTTCTGAGAAGGTGTGGCCAGTGGAGTGTACTATGTGTCAAGATGTTGTGGATGTTAACTGGAGGAAGTGGTTAGAAATAGTTCTATATCATGGACTTGAGGATAGAACTTAGACATTATGGTAGAGTAAAACTCCATTATGGAAATGATTTTATTTTGATATAGTCACACAGAGTGTAGTGTTATACAGTAATATTAACTGATGACATTTTGAGCACAATTGATTGCTACTTCTCATAATCATATCAAGGCATTACTCACCCACACAACGTTCTTGCTTCATTTATATACATGAGTAAAATTTGATGATTACGCATTTAAATAAAATCAACACAAGATAAAGTACATTAGGAAATAATATAGGTGTTATCAATCAAATGAAATAAGATGGGAAATAAGATATTTTCATTGTAAAATAAATAACTTGTAGGAATTATTGAATTGAATTTTTGATTTTCCCGTCGATTGTTTGGACCGAAACTATGGGTACTGGGTTCGAGCTTCGGTGGGAACATCATCACTCACTGAGAAATGCAGGTACATTTAGATGACGAGTCCCAAATAGGACGAAATGCGCATCTTGGATTCCACTGCTAGCCACCATCCACCAATTGTAAACTTGTAGGAATGTTATGTTGTGAAATGAAATGCATTTTAACACTATTTATTTTCCTCTGATTTGACTATTAATAATATGATTTGATAGTGTGAAATATTCCCATATTATGAATAAAAAGTCAATCTGAACGAAGAATATTCTTTTCACTAATTTCTTTCAGGTTCTTACAATTATAAAATATAATATTTGTTGTCGTTACAATAAAGTTACATAGGGCGCACGATTAAGTAGGTTCGTCTACGGGTTCGAGAACATTTACCAGCTTGGTTCAGCAGGGGGGAAATTAAGTGCATAAAAAGCTCGATCCTATCACACTTGGTCAATACTGGACATCATATCGATGTCAGCACAGCTTTCAGGGTCATATCCCTAATTCCAAAGTCGTTATCACGTACAGTTCACTTACATCTCCTACACATAGCTGAAGCTGTTGCAATAAGATCGACTAAACCGGAATTTTGTATCCAAAAAGAATACGTCCAGACGGTGTTCCTATTGTGGCCAAACTTGGATTGATGATTCTTCTTCTCACCAAGAATGCTCCTCCCCCTTAACCCTTCTGGTTTATTTTTCCTTTACTTATTATTACAAATATTATTATTACAATTATTATTATTTGTCATAATATATGCCCTTCATGCAAACATTCCCTGAATACAATCGAATTTTTCATTTATACTACCCGGACTTATTATTAGTGATATTATCTGTTTTCTTAATATATGCCTCCATCTGTTTCATTTCACATATTCGTTATTTCATTATGAACCTCTCATTGCAATCTTACTATCTCCTGTTTACCACAGACAACTTTGTACTAGCCACTCATCTGACGCCTTTTATAACCTTGAACTGACTTGTAAATTTTCCTACCCCAAACTCTACAAATCTTTCATGATTAATCACCACCATTGTCTTCCGTTTTACAATATTTTCTAATCGGTTTCAGCCTGGCATGTTTGTCACACAAATACGACTATTTATTTTGACACCCCATAACTAATCTGTTATTCTACGTTAAAAATGTATCCGCCGCATAACTGGCCTTTATTGTAGCGACAAAAAATATTATATTTTATAATTGTAAGAACGTGAAGAGAAATTATTGAAAAGAATATTCTTCGTTCAGATTGAGTGTTAATAATGTCTCTCATATCTCTGATATTTGTGTTGAGTCTCTTCTGCTGCGCATGTGTTGCGTGTACACTCGATGAATCAGGCAGGATTCAGTAATCGATCTCTCCCTTTCTCTCCACCTACTTATATTACTTTACAGAATTTTGACTTTGTCCCACCCACCCCATTGTGTGACTGTGTGTTAATGAATGGAGTGCTCAGTTTCTTTCTAAGTTACTTGTCTTCGTGGGGCCAATCATTCTAACCTTAGCTAAATTCTTATATTTTGATAATCCCACTACTCCTGATGTTCTAGTTCGACCTATGTAGTTGACCTAACTCTCAGTCATCGCAAGGTATTTTGTAAATTATGTCATTTTGTTTAATTGAAACCATCGTGTTCTTCAGCCTACAGAGCTTCTCTCTGCATGATTTTATGGGTTTGAATGTCACTCTAATTTCTGTTTTATTGCCAGTCCTCCTACGTAGGCTCTCAGATGTCTTCTATGGTGAAAACACTGAATATACCTAATATTCTCTCTTATTTATGTTATCCCTATTAGTTTCACCATTATTTCTACCTCGCTTTTGACCTCTTTGGTATTCCTAATGAATTTTATAGAATAGCTATTTAACAACACCACTTCTTCTACCTGTTTCATTTGATCATTTAGTTTTTTTGTTGTACTACTTAGTGCTATTGTTCTGTTTGTTAGACACTTAATAAGCCTGCCTTTATTCAAACCATGGCTTGACAGAAGTTAGAATTTACGGGTCAGTCGATTCTCGCCACACTGGAGAGCTTAAACACTGCGCTGCATAAACTCTAGAGGAATCATGATATGATACACATTCGAAATACCCATAATATGATTGAAGGTCACTTGAGCAGAAGTAAATGTGAAGCATTCTTGATCCAGTAGGCTGTAAATAGCAGTGTAAAATCGTGAAAATGCAGCTTTACTTGCTTAACTTTGAAGCCCTAAGCCTTAAGATGTGACCATCAAACAATATTAACTGTCACTACAAACCAGTAAGAGGAAATCTCGAAAGCCGTCCAAAATAATTATCTGCTAGGATTTTTTCCAGTTCATAACTCATTGAAACCTCTTCCTGTTGGTTGTATAGTCAACGAGATTGGTGTTGTAACGTGAAGGTCCTGCGTTTGGTCCCTGGTGAGGTCGTCGGTGAGGTATTTCTGAAGGATCACAAACTTCCAATCAATAAATGTTCAGTGCTCTATGGTTTTCAATGATCTCCAACTGGTATTATTTCGTAACGATTATAAATGTCACTGGAAATGATGGAAGATGGAGCAAAGATGTATGTGATTGCATCGTTCAAATCAGTGAATGGCCTCAAAATCCCTAACCCAGACCCCTGCCAACGTACCTGCAAGATCCGGCTCCTACATTAAATGTTCGTGGAAGCTACAGGGCACAAAGTAGCCTCTAATAGAGGTTGGATAAATGACGTTATGCTGTAAAGTCTTGATTTCTTTACATAATAAGCCGAATGGAAGATTTTTTCAGAAGTCAACAAGGTATTAGACGACCGACCAAATATTGGAACAGGAACCGATACGAAGACAAATAATATTCGACTTTTTCTTACCACGCTGCCGTCAATGTTACAAGAATCATGTCAGCGAATCAGTTCACGCAGGTATTGTTCACGCCTGAAACTAGAATTAACGGTCTTACATTTAAGGGCATTCAGTTTACGACTATCTGAATAAGGCCACTAATTAACTTCAGGTAGGAAATTATTCAAATCATAACAGTCTGATGCAGAAACGAATGAGACAGAAGTCATCACATCAGCAGACTTAATGAAACTGGCTTTAGGATAATACGGTAAGTTGTGTAAAAAGAAAGGGAATACAGGTGGAGAAAATACAGAGCCTTGACGTACATCAGATTCCTCTAAGCAAAGAAGGGAAGTGCTTTCCACCACAAACAGAATGTTGTCTCCTATCTTAAACTATGAAGGCGGCCGCCTTGTAACCCAGGAATCAGTGCATGATGAAGTGAGCTTGCTTGGTGAGAATACCTCAGAATCGTAAACAACAGTGTAGTCTAAGAAGGCGAGCTGAGCGAACTTCGCAAATTTTGTCTACACTGGAAACGGTATGATGGTACAGTACAAAGGTAACATGCAAAGTGCTTCTGTAACTGCAGAAGCCAAGGGATTTGGTGACGGACTTTTCTATAAGGAAAACGACACCATAATTGTACATTTTTAGTTATTTATTTTATTTTTATTTTTGATTACAGCTTGATTCCACACTACAAGTATGGAATTTTCGGCGTGGATATTGGTAGCCCAAATTTCGCAGACTGACCATAGATATCAGGTGTGCTTTGGCGTGGGCTCGAACCCCGGACGATGTGCATGATCGGCGAGAGTCCTAACCACTAGGTCAGCGGATAATACACTGCTCTGACTGGATGTCGATTTCTCTAAGGTTTAACCTTGAGGCAAAAAGCCTTTTTAATGTGATTATTTCCTGATTGCAACGTAAATGAAATCCAGATTTGAGGAATAACACTCCTACCTCTTCAGCCCATGACTTAAAATGCCGTTTTCAATTTCTACTGCTTCCTATCAATCTTCATCAATATACTACTGACAAATATTGCCAGTAGTACACACCTCACCTTGCTGCATTTATATGCAAATTGCTTGAGTGTTTAAGAATGAAACAGAATTAATTATCAAAAGTGGCAAGGTGATGGCAACTGGCTTAAACTTTAAACCTGATCCAAAAAGATGATAACTTCGTTAAAGTCACAATCTTGATTTCTTTCTTCAAAGCTAAAGGCACCCTGTGAAATGAGGCATTGAAGATTTGTGTAGACGAATGACAGAAAATACCTGCAGGATTGGAATGTGCCAGGTCACGCACATGTTATGCACACACTAATTTCAAAA